CATGGCTCTGCTGTGAGAGAGTTCAGTTGCCCATTACTGCTGCAGATCAAGAGGATTCTGCAAGAGATGCGGCGTGCATATCGAAGCAGGCCGTACTTTATTGCTTCGCAGATTGTGAGAACTCTAAAAACAACAACAACCGCAGCAAGCAGCAACAGCAGATGAAGAAGCAGGGGAGAGGAAGACGAAGAAGAAACACAAGAAGTAGAAGAAGAGAAGGAGGAGGAGGCCGGCCGGCCTTCTCTACACGATTGTCGGAATTAACAGTATGTCGCTATTATTCCCTTATCCAACATTTCATAACATCTCCAACCGAAAGGAAGCGGAGGGGAAAAAAGTCTCGAGTCATTTACTCGAAACTCGAGCCAATGGTAGATAGGCCGCCTCCTCGCTGAAATCGAAGAAAGAGAAGGAAAGCAGAGGAATGAACACGGGCTCGATCAGAATAAAAATAAAAGAAAAAAAGAAAAAAAAAACGTTTGTAATTATTCGAGTAATGGGGTAGGAATGAGTGTATGCAGAATATACCGAGTGAATAATAATAATCCGCGCCGAAGAAACCGGGTGGTTGGTTGGTCGGATGGTTAGTTGTTGGTCGGCCAGGTCTTCTCGGCCGGTCCGATGTGGTTGCAGAGTGGAGACCACTTTTTTTCCACGAAACAATGTCCGAGTGAGTCCGGTCAAAGGACTCGCGCAACATTGCCATTGTTTACTTTTATTTGTCGCATAAATAATTGCAACCTGTTATATGACTCACACGACTCTGTGATCTGATCGATTTTTTTGCGCGATCGATTTCAGGTTCTGTAAAACTTGATGGATATAAATAAATCAGCCGACATCTGTTTTCCTACTCTACACACATATACACACACACACGCGTGCGCTCACTGCGAATACACACACGCATGCACACACCACTTAAATAAACGTTTAATTGTGCAAAAATACTATTCCCTTTTCCTTTGAAGAAGAAATCATTTTCAATTTGAAAAAGAATTTCAAATAAAAAGAAAAACCTCTCGCAACATCTGGTGGCTTCACCACCAACTATTCGCTCTGCCCACTTTACGGACCTCCATAACATGTAAGCTCAAGAATAACTTTAACTTCTCGGAATACAATTTACAACTAATTATACGGTGATCTATAACATTTTGAAGATCCTCCAAATATTACACTTCTTAAAAACCAATATTTTTGATGGTGCGTAATAATTATTAACCAGTGGCAATTGTCCTATATATAACCTTATTTACTAAATTTAAATTAATTAAATCTAAATAGTTTAAACTGTAATAACTGTAAACTGTCATATTATTTGATTATTTATCCATTATACTTTATACACAATATTAAAAATATATTTTTGCAACAAGAAACAAAAATCAAAATAAAACCTTTTGATACTACATAATAAAATAAAAAGTTAACTGCTGCAAAGGGCTATTGCCATTATATAGTATAAAGCTAATTGTCACACCTTCTAACAAATCATTTTCTATAAATATTTCAGGATTAATAATAAACAAGAGTCCGCTGTCTTTCCGCCCTAATTCAGATTTTTTTAACAATCTGTAAATTATAATGACATAATGTCATTTTAAAATTTAAACTGATCTTGCAAGTATAAATTCACATATTCGACAATACATGTATTCTCTCAGATGGACTGAACTGTTTACAATTATTTGATAAATATTTTTATATCATAAAATATGTTACCAAAGTATTTAAATCAACAGCCGTTAAAATTCTAATTTAATGCTCCCTTACCAAATACATTGTCTTTAACTCTTTCGTCCCTGAATATAAACAAAATGTTTTGAATCAAAAATTAACAGTAACATTAAAGTTATGCCAAGTTGAGCACTATTCAGTAAGTTCTACAAACTGTAATAGTATATTCTAAGAACCGTTCGTACAACAGATACTTGAAAATGTTAATTAGAATTGCGTTTGCTTCTTTGGAGATTTTACTTTAGGATCAAGTAACTCATTAATCAAGTTGGATTAATTTGATTGATCTATATTAACCATCGCTAACTGATGGTCCGCAGAAATATTTACATTTTTTTATATTCTGATTCTACTTTTTTGCAATATTTGCCATTATTACGTTTTAAAGTCATGGTCCGCGTGATTCAAAAATTTGAGTTTAGTGGTCCTTTAGTCAATAAAGTTGACAACCGTTGATCTACAAACTGAAAATCAAATATATTATTTAAGTAATTACATAATTATTTCACAGTTGTTCCGCAATTGGAACGATTTTGAATGAATTGAATAATGGGTCTTTGCTGATACAGTTCGTATATGTACATATACACACACCAACGAACGACAGTCAAGACTGCAGTGAAAAACATAAATAAGTCATTGCGCAGAGAGGCTCATATCATATAATAAAATGCGGAATCGATAAATTCGGTTTAAAAAGCCATTTTGTGCGCCGGCCGCGGCATACGAATGGGTTTTTTAGTGCGCACTCTCGGCCGACTTTTCCGCCCTTAAAGTATATTTTAAAATTAATGCCGAAATTATATTAAATACATTTGCTCGGCCGCTCGTCAGCAAGCAGGAGGAAGAAGATGAGGCACAAGAACTCCTGCTTCGGCGGTGGCGGAGGAAGACGAGCAAAGGAAAAAAAAATAAACCGCTCGGCTTATATTTATTGTTATCGCTTTTAAAGAACCTCGCCAATCAAAAGCGCAACCTCAATACCAAAGAGAGACAGTAGTCATGAGGAGAGAAAAACAATGTGAAATACTTTTCAGACGTATCCACTAAAGCTGCTGCCATTTACTGTTTATAGGAATCCAAATATCTGAACATTCAACAATTATTACTTTGATGAATAATTTTTATATAATTATGACAATTATATTTACTGTATTAAACAATTTAAATTCCTCGTATAGTGCGGATAATTGGTTCCGCCAATATCCCGGACTGTTTGAAGAAAACTTTTATAGAAAACTGAGTGATTCTGGCAGCATGGAATTTTCAAATTCCCTGAAAGATGGTGAAAAGTTATCAAACAAGGCAGTGTTTATTTATTTTTTATTAATAAGGAAATTCCGTTGAAAAATTTCAGAAATTTCAGTCAAAGTTAAATAATTTGTCTATCGAGAATTAAACGAATATTTCTTCTTATTTTGAAGACCTTTTGATAATTTTTATCTACATCATTAATTTTGTTATTTAGATCAAAATCTTAAGCTTTTTCGTTCCAAAATATTTGATTATAAATAATTTAATTGTGAGAGAAATCTCATATTTCTTTTTGGATTCTTTTAATTTGATAATAATATTTTGTAAACATTTCTAGGTTCAATAATATTTTGATATATATTTTGAAAGAACTGGAATTTGCAAAGTTCATTTCCATAAAGGCAATGTCTGCAAATTTTCCAATTCAAATGAGGGAGTTCATAAAGCGGAAACTACCATAAAATCATTCAATAAATTTAGTATGAACTCTAAATTTTGCGTCGAGTACCGCACCCTCGAAACATTCAACGGGAATGACTCAAGATTCCATCAATTCAATCAATGCCAATAAACAATGTCTTACTTTGTTTCAAGTAGAATTTCGTAATTATTGGAATGCACAATCTTGTTAACTTCTTTTTTCTTCATCTTCTTCTTTCAGATAGAGATCTTTTACAAGAAAGCTTGCACATATGAATTGCGAAATGCTGCAGCTTCTTTCCACTGAAAACAAATAAATTTCTGCGGATTGCAGTGAAAACGAATGTAAATAATCGATGTGCCCATCCGGATACCAAAAATAATTGAAACACTCGCGCAATTTTGAGCTTAGAATTGACGGCGTAGGCAGTGGAATTCTACGAATTTCCTTTCTGCCATTTTAATTCTCCTCTAATTAATGACTTTTTTCTGTCGCTCAAGGATTACTTTTTATCTTCCTTAATCATAAAATGTTTGTGTGTGTGTGCATGTGCACTTTTGTACCCATAACTATCGCAAACAAGGCGAAGAAGGACAAGGCGAATCCATAAACGCACACCTGGAAACACACGTTCAAATTGATTGGCTTCTTAACGCTGCGAAACTATTTCTTTTTGCAGGTGGCGAGATTTATCTCATCCACTTAGAATTATGTTAGTACAATGTCGGATTATTTACGGCCTACTGCTATGCGATTGGTAATTTTCACATGAACGCAATGATTATGTAGAAATTGAATGTATACAGCTAGAGTAGTAATATTATATAGTTATTTTGTTATAAATTCAATAATGCACACTGAAATACTCTAAAAGTTTGCATCCATGTTAAACAATCAAGTTAAATCTCGTTAAATCTCAAGTATTGACTTAAAAAAATTGAATATTAAAGACTGTAATGATGAGTATTTTACATTTGCAGAAATATTTACGTGACACATATATTTTTTAGCTGTTTTTAAATTAAATGTTTTTTTTTGTTCAAAAATTGAATTTTTACAAATTTAAATTTTGTAAAGTTTTTTTGATTAAATTTGTTAATAGACTTTGGATTATTATAAAATGATAATTGCGATAAATTAGGTAGGTAAGACAAACGGTATTTGACAAAAAAATATCATAAAAGTGTTTATAATTATTTTAAATAAACTAAGAAATAATGTGAATTTGTGTAATTTCATAGATTGTTTAATATACAACTTTAGGGGACGTCGTTGTTGTATTTTGTTTATTATAAGTTTAAATAATTAGGTTTTATAAGCATTCCAATAAGTTTATATTTTATTTTAGATTAGAAATGAAATGGATACTTAATATATCATATTCTGTTGAATTAAACAAAATAGCTTCCGTGAGGGATGCAGCTCTTTTTTTACTCAATAAAAGAAAACAAAATAGTGAAAATGTTAAATTAGATTTCACTATAAAAAAATAGATTTTGTATACTAGCTAAATATTAGTAATATTTTTTAGTTAAAAAGTTGGAGTACCACTGGTTTAAAAGTAATGCAACCATTATAACACTCCACGAAGTATTGGTTGCATACATAAACATCACTAAACAGTGTTGAACCTGCTAAACAGTGTCAAATTACCTATCGAGTTTAAGTAAATATAATCATTTAAGAAGAGAATTGCATTTAGTCTTTCTGTATCTGTGTTTGTGATTGCAATATAAATCTTAAGGAAAGGAAGAAATGTGATGTATTGAAATTAAACTAGAGAAAATGCTGCTGAAAATTCCACTGCCCAATTCACCAACATGCTACAAGAACTTCTTCATATCAATCATACTACTGATTGTAATTATTTACATTTACCAATTGACCACATACACCAAAGTTAATTTAGTTTACTATGACAAAGTGCGTTTGGTCAATCTGCATAAGTTGCCAGTGAAATTACTTGAGGACTCTGTAAAGAAACCAGCAATTCTGAATAAGAAATGCACTTACTGGGATTGCTTTAATCTGTACAGATGTGGGAACACTGGGCATGATCGTATTACAGTATATGTGTATCCACTGAAGAAGTACCTGGATGGCAGAGATGCAAGCTCTGTCATCTCCAAAGAATATTATCGAATATTAGAAGCTGTGATAGATTCCAAATATTACACTGCCAATCCAAATGAAGCTTGCCTGTTTGTGCCCTCAGTGGACACATTGAGTCAAGACAATTTGCAGACCAACTTCACCACAAAGATTTTGAATAACCTGGAATAGTAAATGGTATTTCTAAACTTGTTTATTCTGTTATACATTTGTTACTTTTCAGCTGGTCAGGAGGAGAGAATCATTTAATTTACAACATGATTGCTGGAAAAGCACCCGAATTTTCACCAGTTGTTGAACTTGATGTTGGCAATGCCATGATTGCTGGTGCAGACTTTGATACATTCACATTCCGGACAGGATTTGACATTTCCATTCCAATTTTCAGTCCAGTCTTGAAATTGGCTGAGGAACCTGAAATTAATTACAACCGGTTAGTAACCTCATATATTTGATTTAAATTACAGTACTGTTGATTGTAGACCATGGTTCTTAACTTCATCTCAGATAAGTATAGATCCACTATATATGCAAGAACTTGAAGATTTGCAAGCCAAAACCTCGAATATTTTGATATTGGACTCGTGCTATTACCATAACTACACGAAGCGATGCGAAATCAGCACGAATCAACCGTACGACTATCCACAGATTTTGCAGAAGAGCACGTTTTGCACGATCTTCAGAGGCGAACGAATGGGACAGACCGCTTTATTGGAGTCGATGGCAGCTGGCTGTATCCCCGTGATCATGATGGACAGTCCTATAATGCCCTTTAACGATGTCCTAGACTGGAAGCGGGCTGCAATCTTCATACTTGAAGATCACATAGATAATACAATGACTGTGTTGAGGAAGATAACGCCACAGCATGTTAGAGAAATGCAAAAGCATGTGCGTTTCCTGTACAATACATATTTCTCTTCTTTCAAGCAAATTGTTGAGACCAGCTTGGATATCATTCAGGACAGAGTGTTTCCACAATGGGGACGAGTTTACGATGACTGGAACGTTTCTCCAGACGATGTAAATATGTGTTATTACTTTCACGAAAGAAAGTCTTATTATTTTCTTAACTTTTCAGAGAACTTCGAATCCGCTTTTCCTTCCTATTACAGCACCAAGGGCCCAAGGTTTCACAGCTGTAATATTGACATACGATCGTCTCGAAAGTCTCTTTATTTTGATCGAAAAAATCTCGAAAGTTCCAAGTTTGATGAAGATTGTTGTAGTGTGGAATCACCAGAGAAAAGCACCGCCTGCGTGTAAAGTTTTTTTTATTTTTTAAATTATCCGTTCAAAAATATTTATTTAATATTTTTAGTATCCAAATTTCCACAAATTGCCAAACCAATTTCGGTAATAAGAACCAAGGCTAATAAACTGTCCAATAGATTCTTGCCATACGAAGAGATTGAAACTGAAGCAATACTATCCATTGATGATGATATAGTGATGTTAACATCTGATGAGCTCGAGTTCGGCTACGAAGTTTGGCGCGAGTTCCCGGACCGTATCGTTGGTTCGTATAAATTATTTTATTTGAAATCGAAGTGAATAAACATATGTCATTTAGGATTTCCGTCAAGGACTCACATTTGGGACAACGTCACTAAAAGCTGGAAGTACGAATCTGAATGGACCAACGAAATTTCAATGGTTCTCACCGGTGCCGCCTTCTACCACAAGTATTGGAATTACTTGTACACAACGGCGCTGCCAACGGGTGTTAAAAATTGGGTCGATGATCATATGAATTGCGAAGACATCGCTATGAACTTTCTCGTTGCGAATATAACGAATAAGCCACCTATAAAGGTAAATATATTTCAAAAACTTGCATAAACAAATAGTAAAATTTTATATTTCAGGTTGCACCTAGAAAGAAATTTAAATGTCCGGAATGCACCAACAACGAGATGCTTTCAGCCGATTTGGGCCACATGGTGGAGAGGTCGCAGTGCGTGGACTTCTTCACGAAAGCTTTCGGAAGGATGCCTTTGCAGTCGGTCGAATTTAGAGCTGATCCTGTTCTTTACAAAGATCCATTCCCCGAGAAACTCAAACGCTTCAACAACATTGGGAGCTTGTAAATAGTAATGTGATAATGTATATAGGTTTAGAAGAATTATTTTTTATTTGTATATTGAAACCGTTTATAAAACCACATTAATAAATTTTATTTAAAACATAAGTAAATTAAATTATTTTTTTACTATTTTATATACAAAATAATATCTCGAAACGCCAAGCAATTATGTCTTCTATTTGAAACTTCTCAATTAAAAAAAAAGTTATGCTTATGTTTTCTCATTTTAAATTAGTTTAATTATAATATTAATTGCAACAAAACAATTTAATATTTTCATATAATAAAACAAAAAAACTAACTTGCAAATGATTGTAAATTTGTTTATTTAGTAGGTACTTTTCATTATCATACAAGATATTTCGAAGGTTATTTGCCCAAGACGCCTACTACGAGTTATCTCACCCATTCATTACTTGCCATATTTGTACAGCTACGAGGAAATTTATATCATAACAGTGTAAATACAGATAGATTTCTTCAGGAAAGATAATAAAAAACAGGTTTGGTTTAAATGAACAAAAAATAGAATTATACAAAGTTTACTATTATTAAAGTTTTTAATTGTATAACATGATTAAACCAATGTAATGTAATTCAACACTTAAATTTTTCTAATTTATTACTACAACTTTATATATTGTCCACGGGTAAAAGTAATGCAAATATAAATCAAACATATTTAGAATAGTATGAAGTAGAAAAATTAGTTTCAAAATTGTTTTATCTTACAGAGATGTTCATTGGGCGGAAAAACTTCGGTCGATTACCTTTCGACCCTAAATAAGATAATAATTAGATCTATTGTAGATATTTGTTATAAAGTTATGGTGTATCAAAAAACTATAAAAATATTAACGAATAAATAATGTGTATCTGTGAAATGCGAGTTTGAGAAACGCAGATGCAAATCTGACAGTTACTATCAGTTACTATCATCCCATTGCCATTGACAGCTATCGACATTTGCAGGTTATGTGCAATTGTGTGCAATAGCTGTCGGTAGTCATTTGTTTTCTAATTTAGGCCTACTCCGAAATAAAATCAAATAACAACAATGGTCAATTGGAGTGCCTTCAGGCCTCTCCTGACGAGCCCGTTCCTGAAGAACGCCCTCAATGGAGGTACAAAAACTCTTATATAACACTCAATTATAGGTTATACTATGGTTATATAAATAACAAAGTAATTAATTTAAATTTTAGCTGTGAAAAGGAACATGAGTGACCACAGGGTCATTCCCATGCAACCATCAAAATGGCAATGGAACAAGTTCAAGGATCTAATGAACTTCTATGTGCTCCTTGGAGTTATACCATTGGGTGCCATCACCTTAGGCACGAACATCTTCATTGGTCCTGCAACTCTTACTAAAGTACCTGAGGACTATACACCTAAATACTGGGAGTATTACAGAGTAATTACAGTTAACTTCTTTGCTGAACATCAGTTTTAATTAGTTGGTATTTTAGCATCCAATTACCAGGTTCATTGCCAGGTACATTTTGAATGATCCTCAGCAAGATTATGAAAAATACTTGCACATGTTATATGAAGAAAGTGAAAGGGCCAGGCTCAGGTAATAATATTGTCCAATGGAAAGTTGCATCAATTCATAAAATTTCTTTTCATTTTAGGCAAATTGAGAGAATGATTCTAAACAGGATGGAGAAGAATGAGGATTACCAAGCTTATTATTACAGACCTGTCCTGGCTAAATACCATAGGATGTCCAAGGATGCTGCTGATTACCTCAAGACAATTCGTGGTGATTAAAATGTTATCCTATATTAAATAGTAATAAAGATTTTAGCAGCAATGTTTTGTGGTTGAAATTTAAATTAATTGAATAAAGTAAATATAAAAATGTAAATATATACACTGCAATTATTCAAAAGTTTGTTCATATAATTTAATCATCCTCAACACCTTTAGTATTACTGGAGTTAACTGTATTTGTTAGATCCTTCCAACAACACTACATAATATTTCAGTCATAATATTCAAAGTTTAGATGATAATTGTTAATTATGAACAAAATATCCATTTTTCTCCATCAATCCCTTTTGAAATACATTAGATTAGGATTATATAACCAGCTACCTTGCATACCTTTCAATTACAGTGAATTCTATAATTGAGCAAAATAAAGAAAAAATATTGATTATTTTCCTCTACAGTTAAATCTCTTTTTGTACCGTTAACTTTTAGGCGGTTTTAATAATGTATCAAATTATACCCGTACCGTATTGTACATCAATAGTTAATATGCAAGTTGTGTATGACGCAAATTAAATTTAACTTAATTCCTGCGTTAACAGGTTAATAATGGTTTATAATAATCCAATAAGAACTTATTCAAGACGATTGATCGTACTTGGTTGACGAAATTATAATTGACTGAATATAAAAATATTACTGACCTAGCAAACTTTTTCAATCCTGATGATCAACAAACCACATGCCATTATCTTCTATTAGCATAATAAATTGTACATGCAATTGATTGGGAAAAGTGAATAGGGAGAAAAAATAAATAAAATAATAATAGTAATTTATAAAGTTTTTATCCACTTATCAGTAAAAATCTTGTACATAATCTAATAGTAGTATGTACGTGGTCTTTTTGCAGAGAATGTGTTAAGACGGTGCTGGACGCGTCTTGGGAGTGGGAATTGGATCTTAGAGTCGTGGAATTGTTTTACTTGGGGCCTCCTGCATGCAGAAGCAGCCACAACTTCCACTTTAATAATCTGAAAACATGAATATTATTAGCACATCTATATGAATAATAGTTTAAATGGTCATATTTACTTGAATCGAGTGAGCGCGAGCACGATGACGGGCACCCATGTCCCTATAGCATTGGGTCACACCACCAGATACAGTTAAATCACGGTATTCCCGGTACATATTGTGTGTACCGGATCTTGAATCATACCGCAACCAGATGCCAAAATTCTTGATTTTTGTTGGACTCTTATCATGAATTTCTTTAATGGAGACAATCTCTCCAGTGGTCTTCTTAAATTTCCTTAGTTGTCTCAGGAAGTACCAAAAGCGGGACTTGGCAACTATTCGGTCTGGAGCAAAGATTCTCATTTTATATAAAGGAGTTGTAGGCTCCTTATCAGTTGGGAGCTTGCGCCCAATGACTTCATATTCTTTCAGCTAGAGATAAAATATAAATACATTAAAATTTGAACATAACCAATATGGAAATATAAACACAACAATGTTATGCATAAACATGTTAGATGCATTGAAACAAAATGAGTCGTATACGTTAAAAACGCGGCGATCAAAAATAATTTGATACACAAAATAAATAAACGTAACCAAACCAGATTCCGTAAACACGTGTGATTAAGAACACTGAACTACACTTTTTAATGAAAAACAATAAACGCGTGGAAACTGCATAGCAAACGATAGAACGCATTAACATTGCTGATTGTGTATATTCTAATAAAAAACTTAGTTAAAAACGGGAAAAATAACAGAAACAAACCTCTCCTTTGGCTTTCATGGCTGCGGAGTGATTGTAGGGGGAGGTAGGGGGACTGAGGGGGTCCAAGTCAATTTTTTTTTTAATGACCACTGCTGTGGCGCTGTCATCGAATACTTAGTACATCAGCAGCTCATTCGGAGGCGCCACAAGTGCAAGCGCCAAATAATTTTGAAAATTTCTTACATAATTCCAAACAAGTTTTACTATTCTTAACATATAAATCTTTATGAAACCTGCAATTAACCAATACATTTTATTAATATACAAGTAATATAAGTACATGTTCTTTAAATGACCAAAATTATAATTCTTTTCATTTGGATAATTCTAAACAATGCAAAAATTAAATAAATTTATTTTCCATTAATGCTGATATCTTAGACTATGCTTCAGTTTTGTCTAAAAGCGTCCAAGAAAAATCGGTGGCAATCACAAGCCCGACAACCATAATATCAAAATCCCGACTATATATTGAAAATAGGACACAAACTGTATGTCGAATTTTAATGTTTTCGATTTACATTTCAGGCATTGACAAGTGTTGAATAATTAATACTTCCACTCTATCTTACTAAGGTAAGGTACACTTATTAACATATCAAATGTAAATATCGTATATACTGCTCATACTGCCATTGGTTAAATCTTGAATAATAAGCAAAAATACATCATATGGAGGATATGTATCTTTGTTTTGGTTTAAGGTTCCCTCAGCAGCACACTTGGCGGCGCCACAGGCAGGGAACCTTCAGTTGCTGGTTAATTAATTGCTCGCTAGGTGCTCTTCTGTGCTCCTCTGGCGGAAGCCAAACCAAACTAAGTCGACGTCAACTCAGAAAAAGTAAGTCCAACATAAAATAAAATCAAAATTCCCCTAGAATAATGAACATCAAATTTTCATTTGAAGCTATTAAAATGTAATTAAGATAAATTAATTATTGAAAAACCTTTAAAAATTGTAATAAAACATTTTATATAACTTGCAACGATTAAATTGTGTAATGGACATGTTGTTCCAATATCATGCTCTGTTAAATAAATTCAAAACATTGAATTTTTAAATATATAAATCTATTTTAATATATCAATACAATAATTTAATAAATTTAAGCTCACGAATGTATTGAATTCAATATTTTTTTGCAAAAATCATGTCACAAATATATTGACATTCGAAATTGGCGCTAAAACAGCAAGCAAATAAAAATATCCCTACACACAGATGCAACAGATTAACCAGTGAAAAAAAAACAACACTCATAGCCGTTGTATTTCGATCGAAACAATCACAATTTTGATTGCTTATTCGAATCCCAATTGTGTCTTCGTCTATTCGATTGTTAAGCTCATAACACATATATCCAATTGATTCCATTCCTATTGGAAGAATAGGAAGAGATATATTATAGAGCCGTGTATTCCGGCCGCGCCCAAGCAACAAGTTTTGTGTTTGTGCAGTGTCCCCCGTTATCAGCCACCATAGGCCTCTCAGATACCGCGTTGATGGACATGGTGATCTCTAATTTGCAGCAACAGCGCGCTGTGACGGAGCAGCTGCGCAGGGAGGCTGCAATCAGAAGGATGCCTGTCTCCCAGGCTGTCTCTGATATTGTAAAATACATCAGTGACCACATGCAGGATGACTGCCTCCTGGTTGGATTTTCCAGCCAGAGAATCAACCCATTCAGGGAGAAGAGTCCTTGCACTGTCTTGTAGATTACGTTAACAATACAAACAAAATATGATACAAAGATTATTGCTTTCTAGATGTTTAGTACCAATTAAAAATTATTTATGTTTTTTTTTATATATGTACACAAATCAATGTAATTATTTGGAAAAAGGAAAAAAAAACAATCTTTTTTTGTTTGCTAGAAAAACTGAATGTAAAGTAAATAAATAAAAGTCTGAAATTTATTTTGTTTTCACTTTTTTTTGTTGCTGAATCTATTTAACAGAAACATTTTTCAAAGTTTGGGAAACTATCATTCCTTTGCCAGGAATTGTGAATGGGATTCCCTTGTAACAAGCTTGCAATGAGTCATTTGTGTGCAAATCTGGGGCTACAGTCTCAAAGATCTTTTTCTTTGGATTCATAACAGCATCAGGTTGCCTGGTGTAACCATCACAATGAACATGATCTCCAGGTTTGGAATCTGCAGGTGGTAATAGAACTTCTACCTTCTCAGGTGTGCTGGCACACATTACCATGGCTTCTGAAGTTACACCCCTCATCTATAAACAAATAAGATTTTTTTTTAGCTTAGTATAGTTATAAAGTTATATAAAATATAGGATAGTAAACCTCATAAAACGCAACCAATTAATCACGTTAAGAGGGTTGACTACAAAATTTGACTATTACCTTAACAGGTTTCAAATTGCACAAAAGGACAACAGACCTATCCTTTAGGTCATCCATAGGCACAAACTTGACTAAACCAGAGCAGACATTTCTTGGTTTTTCTTCACCACAATTGATTTTCAATAAATACAATGAATCAGCATCTGGATGCCTTTGGACATCTTCAATTTTGGCAACTCTTAAGTCTAATCTTCCTACATCAACTGGAGCTTCAGGAGCAGGTGCTGGTTTCTCCTTTGCAGGTTTCTTCTCTTTCTTAGGCTTGGACTCTTTAACTTCAGCAGCCTTCTGTGGTTGTTCAACAGCTGCTGGTTGTTCAACTGTATCAACTTTAACACAGAGGTTCTGTGTTGGGATAGCGATCTGCTTCACTCCATTTGATACTTCCAAGCTGATCAGCCTCTTTTTGGCCATTTCAACTGCTGCCAGCAGTTTTGCGTTCTCCTCGCGAAGCTGCTGCGCCCTGAGTACGTTATATTCATTGTTCAAGACTGAGAGCTGAAATACGCAATTAAATTAAATCTAGAATACAACAAAGCAAATTTTGCTCAATACTAACCTCACTTTTGAGAGCCGAAATGGTCTGCTTCGCAATCTCGGCGTTTTGCTTGACCGTTTCCATTGTCATTCTTAAATTGTTCCTCAAAATCCGGCCCAATGTATTCGGTATTAAATTGAAAGATAGATTCATCAGCGAATCTAAAAATATGGTAAGTTCTTTGACAATTTCAATGTCACGTTTTGACGTTACGCGCAGGTCTCTGCAATACCGGTGGGTCAGAGCACTTATTGACTTTATTGTTGTTTATTGTAAGTGAGCAGGCACGAAAATGGAATTAATTCATGTTCCAGTGAAAGTTCGAAGATTCGATCTATCAGGTATTATTTATTTTTTGAATATTAGTAATAAAAAGTAATAATTCAATAATTTATTAGATTCACCAGACTTTGAAGCTGATGAACTGGAGTTGGAAAGTGGAATAGAGTATTCTATGCTGAAGAAGAGAATGAGAGAGTACTTTGGTATTGCTGAAGATGAGGCCAAAGTGATAAAAATTAGGAACAAGGATTATGTTCTTGTTCCCATGATGAATTTGCTGAATGAAGATGACACTCAAAGGTATGTATTTGTTTTGTTGTTCATTTTGAAGAGGGTTTCATGATTTAATATTTTAGCCCTTTCATCATTGATATTACAGCTACATCTCTGGCAAGTGAGTGCTGTCTATATATTTACCAGAAATAAACAAATTTTGTATTATTTTTATTTTGTTTCTTTAGATGAGAGCAACTTGCTGCAAGATGCTTATGTGGATGCTGTTCGGCAGAAATTCAGGAACATGGAATCAAGAATTTCACAGGCAGAGGTGTTACTGCCTCAGTTGCAGTGGAGAAGACAGTCCCATCTGGATGGGACAGTTTCTAGCTTGAGCAGTAAAGTTTCATTCTTGAATAGGCGCATTGACGAACTTATGCCAAGCAAATGGAAATCAAAAATGCCTGCTACTATCTCATAAGAATATATGTTCACATTTTTTGATGATATCAGTATTATTATCTTTAATTATTAAGCTTCTACATAGTTACAGTAGTTTTTATCTAAGCTATATTCAATTTCTATGAATTTTAAAAATTGAAAATATTCATAAGTTGGTGATGAAAATAGAATATATATGAACATTAGAATATTTATCAAATGGTTATAAATTGCACAGTGCTTCTCTGAGGTATAAAAAGTTAGATTTGAAACGTTTCATAAATAAATGATTTCTTCATAGTGTAGATATGTTATTTNNNNGGTAAATCAAATACTATCGCCTTTATAATCATATTTGTATTTAATGAATATGTTAAGTAAAAAAGCAAATATATACCTAACAAAGGTAACATCCGGACAATTGCGAGTGAATTCGTATGAAAGTGTTTTCTAAGACAAACAAAAAATTATAATAACCTTATCCTACAAGTTTTGAAAAAATCTACCATGTCAAATTCCTCAAAATCAACAATAAAGTCGCTTTGATATACGACTGCTTTAGTTTATGAACGAAATATGCCTATTTTCTCTTTCAATAAACCTTTTAACAATAACATTTCTTACAAAATATGGATAATTTTCACTGTAAACAAGTTCAATGACATTCTTTAATTTTGTTTTTTTTAGTATTGTTGCCAATGAGTTCTCTAAATCTACCACAGAAAAATTACTGAATGTAATAAATTTCTTACATCTTTTCTTGCTCGTGTTTTGGAAAGCTATTGTTTCAGACAATTATTAATGTTTTCGATTGTTTTTTCATTATATATTTCTTTTAAAAAGTTCAATTATATTGTATCATGATAATAATGATTAAATGTTGCTATTTTGAACTATCGATTGAACCAAGGAAGTCGTCTTTACTAAAAGAAATACTTAACATTAGATGAATAGGATGAACAACTTCAAATTTACGGACATTCTATTTCTGCAACTCTTTCGGCGTTTTTTTTTATTAGGGTAAGAGATTCACGCTCTTGTCTCGTATCGGGTTTGTGTGAAATAAGCGACCAGCGAACTTATTTATATCAATGTTTCAGAGGTAAGATTTTTTTAAGTAAAAAATTAACAATACTTTCACATAAATATATTTTTTTTACAATGTTGTACACGGTTACAAATTATATAAAAGTAACATAAAAAGTAATTAAGGTAAAACAATATCTTGAGTACTTTTGTGGACGAAGAGTTTACGTAAGTTTATTACGTTTTTTACTTGTGAATTTTCTAAAAGGAAAATATATTTAAAAAAGAAACTAATGACTTAATCAAATAAAACAATGGAAAGGAAACGAAAAAAGTCAACTTCTATATTCTATTTTATTCTGATTAATCAGCACTTATATATATTTTTTTTAATAAATTTATTATCTACAATCTGCCATATGCTGGCATCGAGTAAATAGTTTTAAAACTGTAACAAAATATAACACTGAGCGGAATAGTTTCCCGTTGAAAACAATTTTATTACATTTTTCATATTAGATTTTTATTAAACATTAGAAAACAAAATTCTATCTATATACAGTAAAACATATATATATTTTTCATTTGTTATAATTGATATATAATACAATAACTTAAAGCTAATCGATTATTAATCGTTACATCAATTGTTGTGTTGCATTAGAATTAAAAGAAATCAATCAATAGTTTTACCACCGTCGGATCAAAGAACACATTCATAAATTAATTTAAGACCCTTATCTAGTACTATTAGACAATTATTGTAAAAGAACAAATCACAGAAATTAATTATCTTTACTTACCCTCAGCGCGTACCAAAAATACTTTATAATCGTTCGAATCGTAGCATTTACAATGCAATATTTGACGAACGAAATATATTTGAAAATTAAATTTAATCTAAAATTATACTCAATTCATTGAGAAATTATATGAAATTTCAATAAAATCTATTCGCTTCTTTTTAAATAAGGCGATGGGGGAATTGCATCATTCATAAATACTGTACAAATCTGGCTTACTTTAAAAAAAATAATGATTTACTTTTCGCTATCGCAACAATAAATGTATTGCATCAGATGAAATAAGTAATAGTGACTGGTGTTTCTTTTTCTTCTTGATATTTGTACGAATACTTTGAGATCTGAGAAGCTTATGTAACTGAATGACACCTAGTTTGTTTAGCAATTAAATATTAATACCTGGGTCTCTTGGCCTGATACCCAGTACTGGTGCTGGGCAAGTCGAGAGGGCGCGTGTGTTGAAATTGGAACCTGGACCTGGCAACGTTGGCCAAGTTCTCCCTGTAGCTTAACTCTGAGGGGGCATTATACCCCAACAGAGATTCGTGATGTCTATCTTTGGAAACTAACTTAAGCTTTAATGTGTCGTTGGCTAAACCGCCCGGATTTGTGCCGTCCAACTCTACGTTGCATTTATTTACCAATTCCAACATGGCTATAAAGGAACAGCATACGTCCCGAGGCGAATTCCCGTCCGCCAGCTCAGCGAATTTTTTCACATCGCCTACCTCGCCGATACTTTCAATAATCTTCGATCCCTCCGCATGAATATCGAAATCGTTCTCCTGCTCTTCGCCAATCTTCTCATTGATGAATTCGCTCCATTCGCGGTACTTCTTCGCCTGTTCCTCGGCCGTCCTAGCTTCCTCCTGCATTATCTTATTCTGTTCCACGCGAGCCTTCTCCAATTCAGCTATCCTCAAATCGAAATTAATCTTCATACACTCCAAATCATCATTCTTCTCCGACTCTATTGTCTGCTCATCGGTGCACTCCATCAAAGCTGGTGCCTCGTCGCTAGATTCCTCCTTGATCGTCACTTCCCTTACCTCGTGGATATTATTGTGATCATCACCATCATCGTCGTCGTCAATTATTACAAAAATATCAGAATCCGAAACAGAGTCTGAATCATCTACAAACGGCGGCGGATCTCCCTCGCCGCTCTCTGCCTGATAAGTCTTAGAAAAGAACGATTCAAATGACTTCAAGTTAACAGTCAGAGATTTCTTGCACAGCACCTTCCTACGTTTCGGTATCTTTATCTCGGAAAATACAGGAATAATTGAAGTTCTCTGGAACACGCAATATGACCATATTAATAGTACTAGTAAATGTGTGTTAACACTGTTATATAAGGTAACATATTTGTGTGGATATAATTGTTCATAAGTATACCTTCCTGCAAGCTCTAGACACAACCTCCTCCACAGTAACATTATTATCTCCGAATATTCCTGAGTCGTCTTGTGCTGATGTTTCCAATTCAATGATTTGCTCTTCAGATGTGTTCTTCTGTTCCTCTTCTGCCAATTCGGGATAATCAACAGTCGTTCTGTCTTCAGCATAGTACTCATCCGGTACGGGAGAAAAGAGCATCGGTGTTATTGGCGTCGTTCTGTTATCTCCGTTGGGCACAACCGATTCAATATCGCTGTGATCAAAGAAACCAGATTCTACGTCGCTATGCGAATCGACGGTTTTCCGCGGAGTCGATGTGACGATGACCGTAGTATCGTCGTCGAGAACAACTAAAAAAAAAGAAGAAAATGATATAAATAAAATATACAAATAGTAGCGTTTCAAACTTGGGCTTCGAACTTACTAACATCATATACCAGACTGGCAAGATTTTGAAAGAGGTTAGCATGAACCTCCTTTGGACACATGCTGTATGCCTTGTCTATGTACTCCTGCATCTCCTGCTTAATTTGTACTTCAGGATCCAATGGCACCACCTCAGCAACATCTTCAGGTTGTGGTAAATTAACATTGTTTTCCTCCTGTTCTTCCTGAGGTGTAGGCTCTGCAACTCTATAATAGGAAAATCAATTTTTGAATAATTTTCATTTAAACTGTGATTGACAACTAACATTACAGGTGCTTCTTCATTAGCTTGTACTATGGGTTCTGGTTCTTGTGGTACTTGATCTGGTAGTTGTACTTCATCCAGTTGTTGATTTTCTGATGTCTGTGGAGGATATTGCCTAAGTGTTTGTAAACCATTGAGAACAAGTGGTTGTGGCAAATTTTCAGCTGCTTCAGGAAGGACTTCAGGAACTTTCTTCTTCCTTGAATATCTGTTTTTCCTCTCTTGTATTCTCTCCATTTCCCTGGCATTGTCTTCAGTTGGTCTGGAGAGTAAATTGATGTATATAAGATAAATTATATTCCAATTGGAAACCACACTCACTCCTCATAATTGGCCATGTGTTCATGGTACTCAATCACTGACTTCCAGAGCAAGTCAACCTTCCTGCTGTAAAGCTGTGCTGCTATTTGTATAAGCAAAGCGCCCTCAGCAAAGCTAAAATTCATGATGCCATTGTTCAGAAAGACCTGGGACTCTCGCAAATAGTTCAAATAGGTGAGCATCTCCTGGAACAAGGCCACACCAAAATTGATGTTTCGTTGCGCAATTTATGGGATCCGAATGTTAATTCTTACCTCGGCCAGCGGGGCTTCGATGGTTGGTTTTTTGAGATGTCGGTGCATTCGGAGGATCATTTGTCCGGCCGGAGAGGCGGCGTGGGGCTGAGCGGCGATCTCATTCAGGAGCTCGTCTTCCTCTTCGGCCATCCTTGTAGCGTTACACTCTGTGACAACTCACATAAACGAATATACAGTCACTTGTAAATGAAACTGTACGGGATTAGAACGCGAGGGAGTCCAGGAAAATCACATTTTCCAATTCACGCACGTTTCTAGCTCATTAAACAAACAACAAACGGTGTCCATTTTGTTATGGGACAAACGCTAGCCCTTGCGCAAACGCGAGCGAGTCTACTTACTCCAGGCTGCTCACTCGTTATTCTATTAGAAATAAAAATTGAAAGCACATTCGATAAATATTCAAATGTAAATGATTTACTTTGAATTTTACATGAATACATCTATATGGAAAGCAGAAATGCATCGAAACAATGGAAGCGTTATTATTTGCGATAACAAGCATTCGTTATTTATTGATGCAATAACAAAGATGCAAATATAAATGCATTTCCAAGAAATGAATAAATACATTTTGTAAGTTCTATAAAAAATTCTTATCATATAAAAAGACAATAACATTGATTAGTTTATACAGTACAGTTTATGTGTTTAATTTTTTCTCAAGAAATCCTATTGGAATTTTATTTTAAATTGTTTAATTTATAGAAATATGTATTGTATTCGAACAACATAAAATAAACAATTTTAACGTTAGAGATTAACTGAAAACATGCACAACTTTATATATATGAATAAAACAAAGAACATGCACAGAAGGCATTGAGGTCAATGACTCTTTGACATCAATAGTTTTTCAGAGAATTTGTTAAAAAAAAATCTATAATTATTAGTTGAACTATTAAATACAATTCAGAAACTTATTTATTATAAGGTTAATTATATTTTATTAAATAGTCTGAATATTAACACTAAACTTATTTAACGAAATGAAAAGATTAAGTTTGAATATTAATAGAAGATAAACTTGGATAAATAAAGTAAATCAACAAATCTTGCTCTTTTTGATTGATTTTGCTGTAAAGTACTTTAAACATTTTTATAAATAAATATTACGCTGTGCTATGAAGTTTATATTTATTTATTATATGGATTAAACTAGTGTATTTGTAATATTCTTAAGACAGGTAGAGTGACACCTTAACAGAGGTAGTGCCTTTGTGTTACACATTGACACAATACATTGGTAAAAAGTGTGAACATTTGTATGAAAATCTTCTGAAAATAAAATATTTTTTCAATTATTTATTTAAAATAATTAAATATTTATATTATATCGACAATCAAACATACACACTTAATTCTTAATTGAGTAGATTTGATTATGATTATAAATAATTCAATAAAATTAAATGGAAAGACATGAGAATATAAATAAACTGAAAATATATTAAAATATTGGGCGGAAAGACTTAGATCGATAGCCCTTTGGTTACAATTGGTGACTAATAAAGATTTTTATTATTATTATGAAAATTAATAATAATTTATACTATGGTTTATAAGGTTTATAATCTTGCATGAAATACAAGTTTACCTAACAAAGTCTCTTAAAGTTTTTATTTATACATAATAATCATAGTTGACCTTTCTTGAACAATCTGGCTTCTGTTATCTTTAGAAATGAAGAAAAAAACGGGTGCCGCACCGAAAGCTATTTTATAATATGGTAATATATTCCTTTGAATCGATAAGAGGATAAAGAAAGCCGGCCCAGATGTAGGAGAAGCTTTATGATTTTCTCAGAAAAAAAAAGAACATCTGTTTTCAACCGATTTTGTCATTTTAATGGTTACCTAATAGCCCATTCAGCTGTGTTAGTTTGAAATCGTCAACTGTCAACGGTCTGTAAAGTACTGCTGCTAAAGTTTTAAAATAAAATAGTTCTTGTATACAAAATTAATAATATAATTCTATATATAATAAAATAATTATTTTATATGATTGGTTAAAAGAGCATTTCATAAAATTTAGTTTGAAATATGATGTATTTATAACTAACAAGATATTATAGTAAATCTTTGGAGTATTTTTATATTTCATGATCATCAATCTTGTACTTAAGAATTAGGCATAGGTTGAAGATGGTCCCTGGTCAAGGTTCCTATCCAAAAAAGGTTAAAAATTTGACATTGACAATGTAATATGACTTATTTAATTAAGGTATTTCACAAATTCACTAATAAAGTTAAAAAAAATATTGTAAACCCATAAGGGTCTCTCATCTATGCTTGCATATCTAGCCTAATAATTCATTAATAAGTTGACAAACTACTTAAAAGAAATTAATTGGTTTTTGGCCCCCGGCCCCACATGTTTCTATTATCACTAGTCGCCACTGATAAAGCATATGTTATATGTCAATCATCTCTGTTCTACTAAAATGCCATTTTTTCTGCTTTTAAACAATATATTATATTGTTTTCTAAATAATTATATAAAAATAAATATTTTATATCGCATAATATAAAAGTTCTGTCTTTATTGATTTGAAATGTGATTATTATTATTTTCTTAACTACTTGATCATATTTTTGTATTTAAAATATGCTTACATTGTAGTGTTCTAATAATGAATTATTGTCAAAGCTGGACAAGACGCCGTTTCGGACGCTACTAATGTGAAATATCTTGCCAACACATCAAAATCAATAATTTTAAACGTCTAGGTAGTTCGAGAAAATAGGGATTGATTCTAAAACGGTAGGAATGCAAAATTTGTATGTAGCTAAATTCATAGACTCTACGATTTGAAAATTAATATCACAAAAATAATCCATTTCAGACTTTAAAAAAAAAACCTTTTTTTATTTGGTGTGATTTAAGAATTCAGAGTACAAAAAACATAATATTTGTAGCTCGAAATAAAACACGATTGCATTATATATTAGTATTATTTGTATTCGTTTTAAGTCTTTATCTTCGATTTCATATTTTTGTACTTCTGGTTAGGTTTTGAACTAGTAAACCAGTGTACATTGTAATGTCTGAAGTGGTTAAAGGAATGTAAAAAAAACTAGAATCAAAGTTGATACATGTATATTCAACGATAACACAATGTGAAAAAAATGTGTACACTTGAAATATGATTCCTTGTGAAATTAGGTAAATTATATAAAAATAATTATCTTATATTATTAACATACTGCTACTAATGAAGACTATTCCATTACCTTTATATATGCTTTTATTTATTCAATTTATTTAATATATATGGTTCATATCAATTCACTTTTTCCAAATGTGTCTTTCGATTGCCGGCATATTATAGAACATAATTTATCAATTTAAAATTTACTTCTGACCGGAATATGTGCATTTTTTAGGTGGACCGATATAACATTACTATTATTATTAGTATTGTAAAAATGAAGCTGTACATTTTGAAACTTTTTGCCTACCGACTAAATTAGAGTCGCGGTATGGCAGTGCTTGAGAAACGCTGTTATATAACAGTGGTGGATAAACATGCGGCCCTTTAGGTATTTACCTTTGACTCTGAAGTAAAATTAATGATAGCGACTGGTTAAAAAACAGTGTTTTTCTACTTTTTTTTTTACCTAAATCTATAAGCTTTCGCGGCACACTTTCAAAACATATTAGTTAAAAAAATATGTTGATATTTTTATATTGATTCGCTGGTCAAATTATAAACTTTGCAGCATAGATATTAGAATATTTATCTTTTCGTGTCACATTCTTCTATTTTTGTAGATTAGTTAATTGTTTAATGACATTTTATTTTCTTTAATTGTGCATTTAATTTACTTAATTATTTAAAAAATACAATCATTATTTGCAATATTTTATTAATAAAAATATTTATAATGCTTTAAATTTTATTTTGAATTATATTTTAATTGTACAGTTTTCCTGCAATCGCGGTCTTCATGATAATAATATTATGTTATTCCTCTAAGAATTGTATGAAATATTTCTAAACAATAAGCTTCAAGAGAGGAAACGGATGTAATAGCGTATGAATAATAAATCCCAAGTGAAATCACTGTCGTCGTCTAAAAATACAACCGACATAAGACGATGACAGCTCGGGTCGGAAAGATAATAGGGCTGACGTAATCAGTGGAAATTGGGTGAAAAGCGTGACGTCACGGATCACGGATCGATTTTGCATTCACGTCTCCATCCCTCCGCCACCCCCCCCCCGTTCATAAAACGTTTGCATGTCGTTTTCCATTCGTGTCCCTTGCTTGTCCTTTCTCTTTTCGGGAAGGCACGCTCTGCTCCCCGAAGAAGGATTCGGAAACGTTCGTAGTTTCCTGTTGATGCCCACATACATGTGCACGCACACCAACAGCACACAACATCCGAACCTATTTCTTCTCTCGGCCTCTGTTTTTATCATTTCTATTTCTGAGCCGAGTGAGTGAAAAACCCGTCGGGAGCCCTGGAGTGAGAATATATCTAATTGGGACGATGTGTTATCGCTTCGCGAAATATTTCCTGGTGATCTTGAACTTCCTGTTTTGGGTGAGTACCAGTGGACGACAGTGACAAATCCCATTATATCCATCAAACAAACCATTCATAGACATAGAGTCCGGTTTCGCTATTCCCAGGGATCTGGCCTATTCGCCATTTTGCTCTATTTGCTCCCAATGCAATGCAGCACTAAGAACTGCTGCAAACCATTATGTAAACAACAATAACAGTGAATAAAATACAAATAAAAACATGCCATCCATTCAAACATTACCATATAAATACAACATATTTCGACCGTGACATCATCAATATTTACATTGCTGCCTGCATTCGTAAACAAATCCGGAGATGGATGGAAAAAACAAACAATCGCACGTTTCCAATTTGACTGTGGATCAATAAACTTTCCACCAATTGCAGCGGAATGCAATCCTATTAACTCACACATTGCTCGTCCGTGACAGTGAAATTGTCAACACTTTTATTTATAAATATGACAAAATATTACTATAAAAATCTGTTTATAATCGTAATCAATTCTGAGAGAAAATGATAATTATTTGTAATAAGAATAAGCCCAAATAATGTTAGTTATCGACCTAAGTCTTGCATATTATGTTATTGAATATTTCAAACAAATTGGACGGAAAGAGCAATTTTCGTTTTTGTTGTCTACATTTTTTATAAGCAATTAAATTACGTAATATTAATTAATTCTAGCGCACCTAAAAAGGTTTATGTAAAAAAAATGATTCATTCTTTGTTTAGGAAGGTTAATAATAAATGTATAATTTAAACGATAATTTTGTCAGATTGTTGTGAAAAGTATGACGAAAGTTCAAGAGTTCTAATGAATAGTATTTGCAATTCGGGTCATTTAGATTCGATATGAAAATGGCCAAAGAACGATTAAAATATTAAACAAATTGTGATTTTCTATTGCAGAAAATTGTAGTAGTTGAAGTTAAGTGTTCAAAATTGATCATTTGTATATATTGTAAAAGTTTTCGGGTCAAATATAATTGGCTCATAGAATAGAACACAATTAAGAAAACGTACATAGTAATTGATTACCACACATTATTATTTGAAACGTTACGATTTAAATATAAAAATTGTTGAAGTTATTCTTAATCAATTGACATTATTGATTAAGAATAAGTTTATAACGTAGAAATGTCATAATTGACAGTTAATTCATGTTAATGTTTGTTATTACTAGTAGTAGTTTTGAAATGTTTTGTTCATTTTATTATATAAAAATCAATAACTTCTAATATTGGATGAGATTTTTTTTCGATTACTAAATTGTTATATATTTCGGTAATTTATTAGACACCTTCTTCCGCATATAAATCGATTTAGAATTAGGGTGAATCTTATTGACTTATATAAATATTTTTTTCTTCTAAAAATAGTCTCATAAATTTGGGAAGTGTTTTTTAAGACGGTAAGTTAAGGATAATAGATCACAGAATGTATAGTTTTCCTTATACTGAGTAATGAAAGTTCAATTAAAGAAGCAATAAAAAATTACTTTAATCTATTAGTAGTGTTGTGTCATCTCGGCTGTGTTATTCTTTAAACGATTATGTCAGTAAAAGAAAAGTTTATCCTGAAGCGCGAAGTTATAAATAAAAATGATGATTCCAATAATATGCGATGCGTCTGGAAATGCCGGTCTATGGAATCGCATCAAAATATTGAATGTTGGAGATGAATCGATATCTTTCGGTGCCGATGAAAAGCAAGTTTACGTTAGCCAAACAACGGTCGTTATATAAATATCTAGTAGTAATGGAAACATCTGTTTTTGTTATATTTAGACTAATCGTAGGTCAGAAATTAACAAGTGGTAAAAATATAAGGAACACGCAAAGATTCAAGTCGTCAAGGTTGAGCAACGATTTACATTTCGTTTGGGAAACTATTGTGATTTGCAATTCAATTACTTTCTTAGCTCATATTATTTAAATTTAAAAAATACGTGTATATATTTTTTAATATAAGCATTGGTTACAGCGTTTATCCAATTATTATCCTCTAACTATAGTGCTTAACTTTCGTAGACGTGAAACTTTAATTAGCTAATGGACTTAAATTGCAATGAGAAATATGATACGTACTAAAATCATGTTTTATTTGGTTTTATATGAATCATATTTCATGAATCACTGTTTTTAACTAATATTTTGTGTTTAAAACTAATATGTTGATAGTTTAAACTACAAGTACTATTAAAAATATGACTGTTTTCTTTACCAAATGTTTAATTTCTCATTTCGACTTTATAATAGTTTTAATGTAACATATTACGAATGTAGATATTTAGGAATGTTCTACTTAAATGTTGCATTAATTAACTCTGTTATTTGAGATGCAAATCATTTAACAATTTGGATTTGTCATTAAATCTGATAATTACTTGTGTTTCAAAAGAAATGAGTAGGCATAGAGCAAACAATCATGTAGATTTCGTTTGGCAATAAACACCTACCTAATTAAAATTGTAAATTCGGCACGGCTTAGTTTATATAATGTGTACGAATAGTAATTGAGCCTATGCAGTGCAACCGAAAGAAAGAGAGACAACAGATTGAATGTGTATTTTGGTGTAGCATTCGTATTGAAAATAAAACTTGCATCATAGGTGTGAGTAATCTCCGAGCCTACTATATACACAACACCCACGTGTTATAAATAAACCAGTGTATACCTACATGAGGAACACCATCTGCAGTCGAACTTCTTATTTATTTACCTTTCTCGTTCTGCGATATGCAGGCCCGTCTGGGTATATTCACCGGTAGCTGGCCGTAAAACAACTGAACCCAATTTTACTCCTACAAGGATCATACGCTCACTGATAAAAATCGTATAAATATTTAGTGAATATTTCACTGATACAACTAATTCTCCATATCAGTTTCCACTATTTACCTTAATTGTAATCAATTTGAACTACAATTGATCTGTTATAACTTTTGTTTTTGATGTTGTTGTAGTTGTTAGGATTAGCCATCGTCGCTTTGGCATTATGGATGCTCCTCGATCCGACCTTCTACATATCGATGGCCCAAGACCCCAACAATTACTACATAGGAACCTACATTCTGCTGACGGTCGGAGCTCTTCTGGTTATTGTCTCATTTCTTGGATGCTGCGGGTCCTGTAAAGAGTCGCAATGCATGCTGGTCTCGGTAAGTATCTTATAAAACAATAAAGTTATTAACTCCAGAGTCGGCGCTACCGAATGTGCAAACTGGGCATTTGTCCAAGGGACAAATAGTAACAGACGGTATATTTTCATAAACGTAATACATATCTTATTATGGGGGATAAAGGATAGAGGGTATTCATAATTGCCCTGATTAGCTCTATAAAATAGAGTGTTATAGATTACACTAAATATAATTTCAATAATTTAATCGAATTTGAAACTGAAATTTAACTGTACCAAAAAAATGTAGTAGAAAAGGATAATTTATTATGATTACTATTTTTATGTACTACATAGTAATACATTAAATAAGTTTGATTGAAATTAAACTAATAACATTTTATATTTGCAGATTATGTTTCATTTTGTGATTATTTTATTATATACAAATAATCAATCGTTAAATTTACATTCAATACATTTCAAAAAATATTATTAGATTATATAAATGTATTCTATTCCAGATTGGTAATTGCTTAAGAAGTGAATTACTTTTCAAGTAAAATATCTAATTTTTCAAGTTTAAAAATGGTTTTATTATTAGACAAATACGCTAGCCTCTGTGACCAATAATAAATACTCAGTATTATTAGTAAGCCTTTCTATTTTAGTTTTTTCTGCATATTACGTATGCTGTAGAAAACTCTTATATTTAAATTTGCTGCGTCGTAATGTTGAGATTGCTACAATATCAAGCAACCACTTAAAACGCAAGAAAAAATATAATTTATTTTTATACAACTTATTTATTTCTTTAATTATAAAAACATTATGCCAATGCATAAATTCTATTTGAATTTTTTATTTTCAAATTATATTTAAAATATTTAAAAAAAACGTTCATAACTTTTTTACAGCATATAAATAAGTTTGATTAAAATTAAAGTAATAACATTTTATATTTATTATACAAATACAATCCTTAAATTTAGATTCAATACATTACAACAAATATTATTTGTTTATATAAATGTATTCTATTCTATTATAGTATTCTAGATTAGTGTTTCTAAACTTTGTTGCCGCGCGACCCAACATTTTTTTTTGTAGTTGTACTGCGACCCAATTATTAGCTTAGTTATTGGATATATCCACTTGATACTACATATAGTGAACAAATAATCTCTTAACATCTTCTGGTAGTTGCATAATAAGTGATTTACTTTCAAGTAAAATAACAAATTTTTCAAGTTTAGAAAGGGTTTTATTATTGCTTATTTTCAATTAATATTTTCATTTTCAGTGTAATATGTTCATGTATTCTCACTGTTGAATGAGTATGTTTCTGAACATATTATTGACAATCTAGTTTCAGCCAAATTTTGCTGTAATGAAATAATAAGTAAACTAATATAATTTACATTATTTTTGAATAATTTGTAGTTTATATGTAGCAACTTAATATTCAGTAATTTATGTATTGGTGTCAGATAAGGCAAGTTTAATATTTTCAAACAAGTGTATATATTTTACTTTTTGTAATATGTGCATTTCTGTAGTTTCTTACGAATTTCATTTTCTAAATATATTAATATATAACTTTGTTTCTGTTTTAGTTCTTCAGTATATTATTGGTCGTTTTGGTAGCTCAAATAGCTACACTGGTATGGGGATATATAAATGCCGAAAGTTTAGAGCCTCTGGTACAAAGTACGATGAAGCACACTGTTCAGAGTGAGTACGCTGACGTGGACAGCCGCAGGATGGCTTTCGACACAATCCAAAAAGGGGTAAAATATATCTAAATAATTCTTCCAGAATGAGTGATTATTAAAATGAATTATAATTGTAGCTTCAATGCTGCGGAGCTGAGAGACCCAGTGATTGGATTGGCAGCAAACCGGTTGTTGTCGGCATATCCGCAGATCCTCTCTTCTATTCGATCCCCGAGAGCTGTTGTCGCGAAGGCATAGATGTCCAAGTTTGCAGGGACGCCACGAAAGTCTTGAAGGCCGGCGGCGAGATCAACACCAGAGTCATCTACGGCGAGGGATGCATCGATAAAGTGGTGCAAGTGATCAAGACCAATGCCATCACATTCATCATCGTCGGCGTGACCGTCATCGCAGTTGAGGTTGTGGGCCTACTCTTCTCCCTAATCCTCCTGGTCTCCATCAGCAGATCGGTCAGGTACAAAGGGTAAACGACACGCGAACGAACTCAAGCTTTAATCGATTCGAATCTTCCAAAGCTCGCCATAATTGTTATACAACTTTGTTTTATTAAAAAAAAATAATAATTTTATTCGCTTTTAAACCTCTCCAGGTTTGAAACGTACGAAGCGTTCTAATAATTTTCGAGTGTTTCAAACTTGGGGCGATAGAATTACATGTAAATGATGTTTCAGAAGAGCGTATAAATGCTGGAGTAATGAGGGTAGACTAGTCTTAATAAGGAAAACACACATGAATATTATTATATGATATAACAGATCTAAATATTATATTTATTTAGTCTTTAGTCTTCATAGATCTATATACAAAAAAAAAATATTGAAAAAAGTATATTTATATATAAATATTTAAATAGAGTAAAGAGATAATTGTATTGTATATTTTCACTAAGAAATTCGTTGATTTTTTGCCTGATTTTACTTTATACTTAATACTACAAATGCGTATAAGCTTTACTACACGTGTACAAATGTTTTTTTGATTAGTTTTTTCTTATATTTCTTTGTTTTTTTTTGGCGGATGAATACTCCTTACGTTTAGATGATCGTGCCATATTCGCAGATGAGGTTCGATTTCGCACTATAACTCATATTACATTGCCGACTGATTTTTTTGTCTCGATTCTACTAACACACAATAAATATTATGAATAGGATGCATCGTAGAAGCACGATACAATTGTGCCAATATCAAATGATTATCAAAAAAGCCAAATTAAACTTACTTAACTGCCGCATAACTATTACAAAATAAAGTATATACTCTATGTATCAATAAATGACACATTCTGTAAATATTCCATGTTATGTTTTTCAGTTCATTTGACTTTCAAGAATCGCACATTGATATATGATATATATAACTGGCAACAATTTCTAGTTTGTAAGTGTTTATGTCAAATATTTATTTTTTTTGTTACCAATTTATATGTATGTATTTCAATTTATACTTTATATTATTTGATATCTCCACAAGTTTTATTTATTTTATATCTACTAATGATGATACTTCTTTAGTTTGCTCTCTCTGGAATAAAAAATGAACTGATATGATGCTTTTGTTTAATTTTAATATTTTCATAATATTATTTTTTTTAAAATAACAATAATAATAATAATATGCGATCATCAATAATTTACCTGCGCCAAAAACAAAAGGAACATTTGAAGTCTAGAGAAGAAGAAACCGTCTTCTCCTTCCGGGCATCGACCCTAACAAGCTGGCAACCCAGCGGCGAGTGATTGAGAGATCGTTCACGAGAGCAGAGACTGATGCTATTCTTGCGGAGATTAGATCCTCCATTGAACCTGAAACTATTGAGACAACGCTCTCTCTAGTCCCCGAATCTCTCTTGATGGAGTCGGAGTCTTATAGCAGCCAGTTGTTCACCGCAGTTGGAAATCTCAGAACTCTCTCACAAGGTCGAACAGGAGATCAGAATTACACTCTGCGAAAACGAGATGCTGAGTGTCACGGACCGCAGTGGTACTAATAAAATAAGACCTAATTCTGATACATGGAAAGCAATCAAAGCTGCTAACGAGGCCTTGGACCGGATCTGTAAGGATGAACAACATCTTTCACTTACAGAACTCAACCAGCTGATATACGCAATATCAGCGGTGATTGCCAAGGAAGTGCAACCAAGAGGGCCTCGTAGCACAACTGTCGAGGGATCTGCTTGGAAGACAAGGCTCAAGAACAAAATCGCTCTCTTCCGCAGCGACGTATCTGTGCAGGTTGGGTACCGCGAAGAAACGCCTGGTTAGTCTAAGCACTAAAGCAGCCGCCATACTTAAATGCCTGAGAATTCGAGATTTGGAACGGGCAATCCAGAACCAAAAGCTCCAGGTGATCTCTCAGCGGCTGAGGAGGTATACCAACGTGAAGCGGAATTATGTAAGGCAGTAACGTCCAGTGGCTGGAATGATTTTACGTTGGCTGAGCCGAAGAGCAACGTTAAAAAGCTCGCCAACTGGAAAGCATCTGGACCAGACAAAGTGTACAACTTCTGGATAAAAAACTTGTATTCTTTACACCTCCACCTAGCAAAGGATCTAAGTAAGGCTGCTCAAGATCCAGGTGCGCTGCCGGACTTGTTCACATCCGGAGTAACATTCCTTCTACCAAAAGGCAAGGACTCACAAGACAGAAAACAATTTGCTGCCGCTTTAACATAAAGGATGTAAGAGAAGATCACAAGGCTGTAAGGACCAACTCCTAGTTGACAGGATGGTCACAGAGGACGCTAGAAGACGCAAAGTTTCCCTTGCTATGGGATGGATAGATTACAAGAAGGCGTTCGATAGCGTACCATAGTTGGATCATAGCAGTCCTGAAGATCTATAAAGTGAACACGACCATCGTAAAGTTTATTGAGACTGCTATGACAGGATGGAAAACTGAAATTAAACTGTACCACTCGAACGGATGCCTCGGCACTGGTCAGATTTCCATCAAAAGAGGTATATTTCAGGGTGATTCCTTGTCCCCAATGCTCTTCTGTATGTCCCTGATTTCGCTTACCAGCATGTTAAATTTAGAAAAGCTGGGGTACTCATTAGCGGATAGTCAGACAATCAACCATCTCTTATACATGGATGACCTTAAGTTATATGCAAGGGATAAGAAACAGCTAGACCAGGAGATCGGAATAGTAAAAAAAATCAGCGATGATATCTCGATGGAGTTCGGACTGGACAAATGCTCTAGAGTCCTAATAAAAAAGGGAAAATTGGAGTCCAGTCCAATAGCAAACTTTGATTCCGAAGTACGTGAACTCGACCAGGATGAGGTCTACAAATATCTGAGTGTAGACGAATGCGATGGTATTCGGCACAGGGAGATGAAGAAGAAACTGCGCAAAGAGTACTATCGCCGGATCAGACTCGTACTCGGTACGAAATTAAATTCCAAAAACAAGCAGTACAGTTTTGGAATTATTAACTGGTTGGGCTCTGAGCTTCAGCAGATGGACCAGGAAACTGCTTACAATCCATGGATGCCATCACCCGAAAGCTGACGTGGATCGTCTGTACATGCCCACAAGTAGTGGCGGCCGTGGTCCCATCGAGCTTGAGAGTGCATACTATTGCACAATTGTGGGCCTCTCCGACTACATCTGTGAGAGCAAAGACAGATATACTTGCTCGGTTAAGAGACACGAGGAGTCCAAGGCGAAAGTGCGTTCGCAAGCAAACGAAATTAAGATCAAATATTTCGAGCCTGAGTCCGTAAGTCTCCAAAACAGCAAAGGAAGACTAAAATCAGCTATTTTCCAGGAAAGACTCGAGAGAGTCCATGGACAGTTCCTCCGATGTCTACAAAACAGCTGGACAGATAAGGAGACAAATTTTGCATGGCTGAGAAGCGCTGGACTCAAGGGTGAGACGGAGAGCCTCATAGTGGCAGCCCATGATCAGGCACTTAATACCCGTTACCACCAGAAAAAGAAAATTGGCCACATTATTGCTGGCTGCACAGTACTAGCACCGACGGAGTTCACGCACCGTCACAACAAGATCGCTAGTTATCTACACTGGTCAATAGTCAAAGAACTTGGCCAGCATGTGCCTGAGCATTGGTACGATCACCAGCCTGCCCCGGTAGTAGAAAGGGATGATGTAGTCGTGATGTAGGATGAGGCTGTAATAATTGATCGAACCATAGGAGCTAACCGACCGGACATCATCATCTACAACAGGAGGGAAAAGCGCTGCACCTTAATCGACGTTGCCGTACCAGCTGACGCAAACATTGCCATCAAGGTCGAGAAATTGTGCAAATATAAAGACCTCGAAATTGAGATTGCGCGAATGTGGAATACAAAGACCAATGTGGTTCCGGTCGTGGTTGGAGCTCTCTGGCCTCTCAAGATTGGATTCGAGAAGTATCTGGAAGACCTACCGTTTAGAGTTAGCGCCGAGGAGGTGCAAAAGATCGCACTGTTGGGAACGGCCCACATCCTACGCAAGGTCTTATCTATCGGCCAATGAACGCCCTAGGGCCCAGGTAGTGCCCCGGTAAAGAAGAGCAACTGGCACGAAAGTGCCAAGTTACAAATAAGTGAAATAATAATAAAAAGACCGCACTGCTGGGAACGATCCACATCCTACGTAAGGTCTCATCCATCGGCCAATGAACGCCCTAGGTCCCAGGTAGGGCCCCGGCAAAGAAGAGAAACTGGCACGAAAGTGCGGAGATGGTTGGCCTTTCGGAGCATGTTTTGAACCACCTACAGATTCTTGATGTGCGTGACTGCAGGCGGGGAGACGTACAGTAACACTGACTTGATGATCGTTTTATACAAGAGCAACTTGTTCGATGTTGACAACTTAATGCGTCGTCAGCGAATAGAGCATTTAGGTGACTCGGTAGGCCTTTCTCTTCACTTGATCAAAATGCAGTACAGGCAGCGTTCCAAGATGACCCCAAGGTATTTGGCCTTGGTCTTCCAGGCAAAAATCTTGATTTTACCGACGGTAATGGCGAGTTTTTAGGTTGCTTCATAAAATGGATAGTTTAGTTTTTATAGATAAATTTAAATATATTCATTTAAATCGATTTAATTTTTAGTGTGCATATAATGATGATTTATATATTTTATTGTAAAAAAATATTTTAAAAGTTTCATTAACTTTAAAGTAACTATTTTAAATATTTAAAAGAAAAATCTAGATATATATTGATGAGCTTGTGTCATTTATAGATGCCCGCGTTCGGAATGAAAGCAATTAAATGCTTCAGATTAGAAGCTTAACTATTTATTTTATAATTAGATCCCAGTAAACTTTCCGGAACTTTTATAATGGAAATAAGCTACCGAAGAAATCCAATTATAACTCCCATGTG